ATAACTCTGACTGTAAATGGATTAAATTCCCTGTTTAAAAGACACAGACTGGTTGAATGGATAACAGGACAAAATCTAACTATACGCTGCCTACAGAAACTCATTTCAACTTTAAAGATACATATAGACTGAAAGTGGATGTACTAAAAAGATATTCCATGTTTAAAAAACCAAAATGAGCAGGAGTAGCTGCACTTATATGTGTATCAGATAAGATAGACTTTAAACCAAAAGCTGTAAAAAGAAACAAAGAAGGATATTATATAATAATAAAGAGATCAGTGAGAGAATATTACAACTATAAACACAGTAGAACCTCTTTAAGTTGATCACCCAAGGGACTGTAAAAAACTGGACAACATATGTAAGTGGTCAACATATGTAACTAGGCGTGCTGTACTAATACATATATGTCTACATTTCCAGTCTGTGAAAATTAGGTCAACTTAAGGAGGTGGTCAATGTAGGGAGGTGATAAACTATGGAAGTTCTATTGCATTTCTGCACTCAACACTAGAGTACTTGGATATTTAAAGCAAATTTCACTAAATCTAAAGGGAGAGATAGACTCCAATATATTAATAGTTGGGGACTTAAAGATCCTATTATCAGCACTGGACAGATCATCTTGGAAAAAAAATAAAAAAGAAATACTGAATTTAAACTGCATTGTAGATCAAATGGGTCTAATAGATATTTGTAGAACATTTCACCCAACAGCTGCAGAATATGTACACAATTTTTCATCAGCATATGGAGTATTCTTTAGAATTGATCATATTAGGACACAGAACAAGTCTTAAACAAAACAAAACAAAATAAACTCATACCAAGTATCTTTTTTAAACATGGTGAAATAAGAAACCAATAACAAGAGGAACCTCAGAAACTACACAAACATGTGGAAATTAAGCAACATGCTCCAGAATGCTCAATAGATCAATAAAGAAATTAAGAAGGAAATTTAAAAAATTCCTTAAACAAATTTCCAAAATTTATGGGACAGCAAGGGCAGTGTTAAAGGCAAGTTTGTAGCAATAAATGCCCACATCAAAAAAGTAGAAAGATTTCAAATGAACAACCTAACAATGTGTCTCAGTGAATTAGAAAAGCAGAATAACCAAACCACAAATTAGTAGAAGGAAAGAAATAATAAATTCCAGAGGAAAAATAAATGAAATTGCGACTAAAAAGAAAAAAATATAAAAGATCAACAAAACAAAAGATTGGCTTCTTAAAATATAAATGAAGTCAATAAACCATTAATTAGACTGCAAAAAAAAAAGGAGGGGAGACTCAAATAAGCAAAATTAGAAACAAAAAGGAGATGTCATGATGAACATCACAGAAATACAAAGGATCTTTAGATAATACTACTAAGAACAATTATATGCTGATAAATTTGGGAGCCTAAAGGAAATGGATAAAATCCTGGATTTATACAATGTTCCAAGATTATTGAACCAAGGAGAAAAGAAAACCTGAGTAGACCAATAACAAGTAACAAGATTGAATCAGTCTCCCAACAAAGAAAAAAGAAAAATCCCTGATAGGATGACTTCACTGCTGAATTCAACTGAAGCTTTAAAGAAGAATTAATGCCAATTCATCTCAAACTATTCCAAAACTTGAAATGGCAGACCTCTCCCTAATTCATTCTATGAGGCCAGCAAAATCCTGATACCAAAACCAGACAAAGGGTCTCTTTCTCCTCTGCTCCTTCATTGGGGGACCCATTCACACTTCCAACTCCCTTTGGTAGTGCTCTGAACTTTGTCTTTGTTCTTTCTAAATAAAATCTCTCTGTAAAAAAAAAAAAAAAAAAGACAAAGATACAACAAAAAAAAGAAAACTACAGACTAATATTTTTGATGAACATAGACACCAAAATCTTCAATGAAATATTGACAAACTGAATCCAACAACATGTTAAAAGGATAATACACCATGATCAAATGGGATTTATCTCATGGTTCAACATATGCAAATCAATAGCATACATCAATAGAATGAAGGACAAAAAGCATATAATTATCTTTTTTAAAATTTTTTCACAGTTTTGGTCAGGGCTGGGTTTGAACCTGCCACCTCCAGCATGTGGGGCTGGTGCCTACTCCATTGAGCCACAGTCACTGCCCTCTTTTCTTTTTGAGACAGAGTTTCATGGTGCCACCTGGCTAGAGTGCTGTCGCATCATAGCTCACAGCAATCTCCAACTCTTGGGCTCAAGTGATCCTCTTGCCACAGCCCCTGAGTAGCTGGAACTACAGGTGGCCTCCACAACTAGTATTCCTATTTTTTTTTTTTTTTGCTCAAAACTCCTGAGCTCAAGCAATCCACTTGTCTTGGCCTCGCAAAGTCCTAGAATTACAGGTGTGAGCCACCGTGACCAGCCTTTATGATTATCTTAGTAGATGCAGAGAAAACATCTGACAAAATTCAACATCCCTTCAAAATAAAAATTCTCAATGAATTAGGTATAGAGGGAATGTACCTCAGCATAGTAAAGGCCATATATGATAAACCCACAGCTAACATCATATTAAATTGGCAAACCTGAAAGCTTTTCCTGTAAGAACTGGAACAAGATGAAGATGTCCACTCTAACCACTCTTGTTCAAGATAGTACTGGAAATTTTATCCAGAGCAATCAGGCAAGAAAAATAAATAATGGGCATTCAAATTGGATGGAAGGAAGTCAAATTGTCCCTATATTAAAACCTGAAGACTCTACCAAAAAACGCTAAGAACTGACAAATTTACTAACGTTGCAGTATATAACTCAATACACAAAAATGAATAATATTTCCACTTGCCAACAATGTAGCAGCTGAAAAATCAAGAAGGAAAACCCACTTACAACATTTATAAAAATATCTAATGTTAAATTAATCAAGGAGGTGAAAGACCACAAGGAAAGCTATAAAACATTGATTAAAGAAACTAGAGAGGATATAACAAATGGAAATACATCCTATGCTAACAGGTTGGAAAAATTATATTTTTAAAAATGACCATACTATACAAAGTAATCTACACATTCAATGCAATCTCTGTCAAAATGCCAATAGCATTCTTTATAGAAATAGTAACCAAACCAAAACCTAAACTTTATATGGAACCATAAAAGATCTCCAATAGCCACAGCAATCCTGAGCAAAAAGAAAAAAGCTGGAGGTATCACATTACCAGACTTCCAAATATACTACATAGCTATAGTAAGCAAAAAAAAAAAAAAAAACACAAAAAAAAGGTAGTTGCATAAAAATAGACATATAGACTAATGGAACAGACTAGAGAACCCAGAAATTAATCTATGTATTCATAGTTAACTGATTTTTGACAAAAGTACTGAGAACACTCATTGGGGGAAAGACCAGTTTCTTAATTAATCATGTTAGAAAAACTAGATATCCATGTGCAGACGAATGAAACCAGTCCCTACATCTCATCCTACATAAAAATCAATTCAAAATGGATCAAGACCCTAAATACTATAAAGCTACTAGAAGAAAACACAGGGGAAACATCTAACAGGGGATAAATATCCAGAATATGCAAGAAACAAACATCTCAACAGCAAAAAAACCCAATCCAGTTAAAAATGAGTCAATGAGATGAACAGACATTTCTCAAAAAAGGACATATAAATGGCCAAAAAATATATGAAAAAGTATAAACATCACTAATAATAAGGGAAATGCAAATCAAAACCACAATAATTATTATCTCATCCTGTTAGGCTGGCTATTATCAACAAGACAAAAAATAAGAAATTCTGGAGAGGGTATTATGGAGAAACGAGAACACCTATAAATTATTGGTGGCAATATAAACTAGTACAGCCACTATGGAGAATAGTGTGAAGCTTCCTCAGACAATTATGAATAGAACTACCCTATGATCCAGGAATCCCAGTATTGGACATTTATCTCAACAAAGGGGCATCAGTAGATCAAAGCGACCTCTGCACTCCCATATTTATTACAGCACTAGTTACAACATCCAAGATATAGAGTCAACCTAGGTATCCATCAACAGATAAATGAAGAAAGAAAATGGGGTATGTATACAATACAATGCAATAGTATTCAGCCAGAAAAAGAAAGGAAATCCTGTCATTCATGGAAACATGGATGGAATTGGAGTGCCTTGTATTAAGTGAAATAAGCAAGAACCAAAAGCTAAATGCCACATATTCTCATTCATAAGTGAAGGCTAAAAAGAAGTTGATCTCACAGAAGTAAAATGGGGAATAGAAGATACAAAAAGGCTGAGAAGGGCAAGGAGGAGGGAGGGGTAGGAAGGAATTTGTTAAAGAACACAAAATTACATCTACATAGGAGGGATAAGTTCTAGTGTCCTATGCCATTGCAGGATGACTATAATTAACCAAAATATGCAGTTTCAAATCACTAGAATAAGGATATTGAATTTTCCTACTACAAAGAAATGAATGTTTGAGATGATAAACGTGTTAATTACTGTAATCTGATCACTATACATTATATGTATCAAAACATCACTACGTACCTGATAAGTATGTTCATTCAATTATATGTCAATTAAAAAAAGAAATAAAGTATTTAAAAATTTAATTGAAAAAATAAATGGATGCAATTTGCTTAGGAAAGAGAAAAAGATCTTTGGAAACAAAATAATATGTGCTACCAAATTGGCTGCTGGATGTTTAAACTATGTGACATCTATTTAAGGTATTATCTCATCCCAGTTAGGATAGCTATTATCCTTTTGGCTTTAACAAATTCCTCCCTATCTCTTATATGTCATCTAATAACATTAAGTGTTCTTTCCACTTTACAAAACATTTTGACAAGCATTTAAGTATATTATTGAACTCCAGGAAGATTATGTCACAGAAAAGCATGTTACTCATTCATCAGCATTTATAGGCAGTTTACAGATTGTGATAAGACCTCATTGTTAATGCATCAGGATTTTTATACTGTTAGGAAAATAATAACATTAAATGTTCTCACCAGTTTTCTGAGGTCCTATTACCAAGAATTTTGGTAAGCGATCACAGGTTTTTTCTTTAGACCAAATATCTCTGTGGCGTTTGTCATCACACGGATTCTAAATGGGAGAAGAATTTCGAGAGGTACTTTTGTGTGTGAGCTAGCTTTTCCAACTTTGGCCCCTAAAAGTTATCCTAGGAAATAATGGGATAAAAAAATGAGGCTGAAAGCCCTAATGTGGCATCACAAAAACTTTCAAATAACTCCTTTCCATCCAGAAGTGGAGAGCTTGCTGAGGAGGTGGGGGAGAGGGGATATTTCCACTTTGGTAAACAGCCTCAAAGCACTCAGTTTGTGTATATATATATTTCTACTACTTGCCAGTTCAGGTCTTAATTTTTTGCTTTTTTCCTTTTTAATAGTGAGCTTGTAGGAGAGAGACTATGTTTCCTGCTAACCTGAAGGAAGATACATTCTTAGTATACAATAAGTAACTGAAAAATATGGTGTCATGTTTTTATTCCAAGTAACTTTGAGCTTTTTTGCTGTGCTTCAAAGGGATGGAAATCTGGCCATGATAAAACTATTTAAAGAGATAGCATATTCCTTTCAGCTTCCTTCAAAGGTTTGTAAATGCAAATCTAAAAATGTAACTTTAGAGATTATGATGATAAAAAGTGCTAAAATTTAGCAAAAGCACAAAAAGAAAGGGGAATTACTACTTTAGGAATTCTGCTTTTGGTCTATAATACTTAACACTAACACTCACTGTGCAAGATATATCTGTAACACGTTTCATTTTAACTGCAAAGTGTGCATTATGTGGAAAAGGGGAAAGAATTAAAGTACCCTTTAGTATTATTTCAGAAATGCGCAAACAGGACCCCTCTTATTTCTATTCAATTAGTACTGTCAAACTTAACCTCTGCTTACTATAAGCAGGGGATGGTATAACTAAAGTGAGAATATTCTTTTTGGCTGCTGTTCTGGAAAAAAGTCACCATAACTTATCTAGCACCTGAAAAAAAATAATGATTTCAGTTGAAAAATTGTGTAATTTTTTCCCACCTATGGAATATTGAAACTGAGTTCATGTCTGCTGTAATATATATTGGGAAAATGCCATATCCTTCCAAAGGTAACGTTTGGTGATGTTTATAGTGATTAAGAAGAAAAGATGCTTTAATGTAACAACTGAAAAGTGGTATGCAGCCCTCAGTCCACCGCTGACTTTAACCTACCAAATGTGAAGCTGTATTTCTTCTTGGAGCTATCTGTGCTCAGGAGGTTCACAGTAAAGCTGAATGAATTGACTGTAGAGTTCAGAGGTAACCACACCTTTAATCTGTGGATCTTTCTGAGTTCTATACTTCTGAAGATGGTATTGTTTTACCATGACCTTGGTATGTAACTATGGTGGCACTGAGAGCAGTGATGAAGAGCAGCCTCTGGGGCCAGACGGGCCTCGACCTGATTCCCACTCTGCCACACATTAGCTGTGTGACCTTGCATAGTTGACTCAGCCTTTCTGTGCCTTAGTTTCTTCATCTGTAAAATGCAAATAATTAACTGTACCTACCACATGGAGCAGTGGTTCTCAACCTTCCTAATGCCGCAGCCCTTTAATACAGTTCCTGTGGGTTGTGACCCACAGGTTGAGAACCACTGACAGGGTATTTCTGAGGATTAAATGAATTAACATACGTAGATTGCCCAGTCTGACATACTGTAAGCACTGTGGAACTGTTTGGAAAAATTATCACTTGACACAGATCATGGAGAGGACAATTCAAATTCAAATGTGACACCTAAAATGCTAGAACAATTTGAATGTGCCATATTAATGTGATATTTTCTCTTAAGAAGCTCAGTGATTTTCCCATGAAACATCTACCCCTGTGTCCCATGTAATACCCAATAAATACTTTTGAAAGCTGCTTATAGTCTGTGGCTGCTGGTGGGCTTCACGGCTCAGAAGGCAGAAGTCAGTTCTGAACTCTTCCCTGAACTCTTCCACTGAGATTTAGCCACTGGACCTGGGGATATGCTCAAGGTAGACCAGCTGGCTACTAGTCATATGCCATCTTCTATTCTTTCAACTTATTGCCACCCCTAAACTGATCTTTCACTCCTCATTGAAACATTATATACATTACATCTTCTGTATCCCTCACTGAGCTTTCAGAATGCCACAATTTTTTTCTTTTTTTTTTTT